GATGGTGTTGTGACGTCACCTTCTTACTTTTTTTTTTTCAGTTCCTACAAGACATTAGTATAGACAATGTTTAATAAAATATTAAACTTACTCACGTGCAACAGAAATATCTATTTTTATTGCATTTCTACACAAACATGTACTAAAAGAGTGCAGGTTATTGACTCGAGATAAGAATAAGGACTTGTTATGAATTTAATAGCTTCTATGCAGACAGATTCATAATACTACTCTGTCTAGATAGTTTCACATTAGTACATTATCGAAAGATGTACTACTAGGCTGTTTGCAGCTATATTAACAATACTATATTGTCTTGAGATGACACGTGTTACCAGTTTGCATATAATTCAACATTAACATACTGTATCGAAACACGTGATACTAGTATGTTTCCTTAAAGATTCACAATACTACATTGTCTCGAAATGACACGTGTTACCAGTTTGTGGTTGTAGACAGATTTACATAATTATGCTGTCTTGAGCTGGACACATGTTACTAGCCTGTTCAGACAGATTTATTTTATTATATGTTGTCGAGATAAACTCTTGTTAAATTAAGTGTATCACTCAGATATCTGGTATTACATATCATCTCACTGTGAGATGGTTCTTGAAAAAGTTTTATACAACTGTGAAGACTTGTAGAGACTTTGATGACTGAACATGGAAGTGGGTTATCACATATGCAAGGGATACAGAACTAAGTTATATAGACCAACATGTGCGGGCGAATACAACATGTCTCCGCCATGCAATTCCAACATGAAAAACCAAAAACTGTCGATATATCACTGCTTGGGACCTGAAAAAAAGGTATATTTGTACCAAATCCCCATGTCAGTTGGTTGACGTACACATGAATAGTTCACGAAAACAGAAATTGTGCTTTCCTAAGTGAAAAAGTGAGCAAAGGTAGAAAAATTCCAAAATTGTCTGTACCTTAGTTTGGGACCTGTAAAATATATCTTTGTACCAAATCCTGTGTAAATTGGCCGAAACAAGGCTAAGTAATTAACCAAAACCCCTAAAATTATGGGATTATTTAACCTTTTGACCTCCTAAAATGACCAAAAGTGGGCATGTCCCACATCTTTGTATGTATATGTATGGGACCTGTAAAAAGTATCTTTGTACCACATCCCATGTAAATTGGTCAAAATACGGCCGCGTAATTAACCCCAAACTCAAAATGGGTAAATCCAACTTTTTTATGTCAATATATATTAGGCGCATGAAATTTTACATCCGTGCCAACTTTCATCTTGATTACGTTTGACTCCATAAAATCCTTAAAAAAAGCCTAAACAATAAAAAATTAAAAGTATATCTTGGCGTATTGGATAAAGGTATAATTCTACCAAGTTTTTAGTCAATCCGCTGATAAATGAAGGAATTGCGGTCGATTGAAAAGTGTTTGGAAGAAGAAGAAACAACAGGAAAACATAATTATCACATACTTAAGAGACTTAGGAGTGCATTATTACCACGTGTTTAAAGTATTTAGAATTGCATTATCCCGTATGCAAAGGATTTGGAATTGAGGAGAGTATCATGTATTTAAAGGATTTAAAATTGCATTTTCACATATCCAAGGGTTTTAGAATTGAGCCATCACGTATTTAAGTGACTTCGAATTGAATTATCACGTACTTAAGAAATTTAGAATTTGACTGTATGTGAAGGATTTAGAATTACGTAACAATTAAAGATATTGGAAGAACAGATAAATATCAGATACATAGAGCCTCGCTGAAAATGGGATGCATAATTATAGAATAAGAAGAGGTAAAATATATAAATTGTTCAAGCCCTCCACAGTGATCTAGTGAAACATGCTACGAGTTGATCAAACTAAATTATAGTAACAGTGTTTCTACATTAGTAAGTTACTAAGAAATTAGGATTATATACATTCATTTATTTATTTTATCGTGATAACTCATTCATAATTTTCACACCTTAAAAACATGTTTTTTTCTTTTTGGATTTCAACAAACTATAAAAATATATAAAATAATTGAGAGAGAAGACATGTTATGATTGGTACTGTATAACTTTATACAGGAGGTTGAGTACATTACACTAAAACTGTTTTGATTGTGCAAATCAGTAAGTCATGTGACATTAGCCACAGCCGATATAAAGTCGTGGTAGAACGGCATGTATTACAATTACATTTTGGCATTATTTGGGTTTATATGTAACGTAATGCCACCAAAGACAGTTCGCTTTTGTGAAGGGAATGTAACAGCCCCTTCCAGTGTAAAATGTTCATACATCCAGATTATATATATAAATAAGTATTCAGATTGTGTACTTGGAATTTCCAAGACAAGACGGAAATACCTCTTGTACTTAATGGCATTGGAAAATAAAGGAATATAGATCAACTTAGGAAGCCAAGACTCTCCAAAAACAGATCTGAAATAAGTCGTAACCAAAAATTGTAAGATAATTGCGGTGTCTTTCAATAGATTAGAATCCATGAACAACGCAAAGGCCAGTAGCAAAAGCCGTTCACGTGCCCCAGGCAACAGTATGCAACACAATAAAGAAGGATCTCGGTATGGAAAAGCGACACATGTCAAGTGTACACAAGCTGCTTCCTCGACATATCAATTCAACTTTCACGTATCTCAAGCGAAGAATGAAACGGGTGTTCATGTTATTCCATACGAAGACATAATGGTCAAGTCGCCTATGTATTTCTTTGCGATCAAATTGTTACCCGTTTGCGCTGGGCAACCGTTGTCTTCATGCACTACATGGATTATTGAAAGCATCGGGGAACAGTGGTGTGCTTTTAACATGAAAGCCTTACTACGAAGTCTTTTAGGATGAAAAACTACATTGCAGGGCTATTGTCAAGATGCATAGCCATCAGAGAGAGCACAACTAGATGTGGTAAAATGGATTATAATGACATGGTGAGGCTCCAACGTCGTTTTGATATGACGTACTCAACCTCTGTATAGGTTTTATGCTTTAGCTTTATTTCGAGAGCTCAAGAAAAACAAACTGTATAAAAACACGTGCAGTTTCAGGCATGAGAGAGTGGTAGATAGTTAAACACATAAGTAAGTAGACAGACAAATAAGTAATATTGGAACCTGAGAAATATTTAGATACTGTTTATTTTATTACTTTTTCCACAAAATATAATTGAAAACGATCGTAAGATAGAAGTATTTTTCTTCTCGAGTTACTTTACCATTAAATGTTGTGACATAAATTATACATGGTCTTAGTTTGTCAGTTGTTATTCATTAATAAATTAACTTTAACGGGTCATAATCGAATGAAAAAATTACATAAGTATAATAAAAAACAAACAAACGAGACAGTGGGGAGTTTAGAGCTTGAAGTAAAAACTGCAATGGCGACTTGCAAATAACAAAAAATAGTTATGCATTATCATTCTATAGGGCATTATTTGGATTACAGCCGAAAATATCGCTAACAGCGAATATACTTACTTAAATGATGGAACAGCGCATCCTAATCATTATGAGTAAACACGTAAGAATTGTATACTAAATTCATTATATTCATGATTGTAATGAATGTTAGTTTTGATAAAAGTGGGTAGTCTTCATCTGATCAGAAGCTGATTTTAAAAACAATTCTTCCTGTTTGCACGTAACGAAACTTCATATTATTACCAAATAAAGAGCCTTCGTTTAATGTATGCCTGTACATAAAAGGTGGTTCGTTATTTGTTTTCACGAAGAATTGTTTGCCGTTTGTGAACATGAAAAACTGGTGTTTATGAACTTGAAAAGCTTTTATTTGTGAGCATGATAATTGTTTATTCTTTTTGAACTTGCAAGAGAGTCGTTATTTTCTAAACCATTTCACACTCAAATCTTCAATCAAGTAGATCAAACATGATGTTCATTTATTGTTTACTATTTTTATATCTATTATTTTATTAATTATATAATATTGACATTTTATAAATTTCAAATATCAAAATTTTATAGAAATAATTTTACTTGTTACATGACTTTAGTGTTAGGCCTATTTAATCGTTAAACACTACATTTTTAATTTAGTCCCTTAAGAATTTTGAAGAATTAGAAGAGTGTATAATAATAGTATTTCTGCCACACTGTATTTCTCATATCCATTACCGACGACGCGTTTCGCTCAATTCAGAGGTCTTCCGGACAGCTGCAATACAACAAACACAGCAGTGATCGGAACACTATTTATGTAAGCAATGTGATACGACAATAATTGTTATGGTGTTTACGCCTTTTATAAGCCAACGAAGAATGATTACAATTTTACGTGACATAAGATATTAGTATTAGGCCTATTTCATTTTTAAACATTACATTCTTAATCCAGTATCAAACGGCTTATTTAAATAGCGTTCCGACCACTGCTGTGTTTGTTGTATCCCAGCGGCCTGAAGAACTTTGAATTGAGTGAAACGCGTCGTCAGCAATGGATATGACAAATATAGCGTGGCTGGAATATTATTATCATACACTCGTCTAATTCTTGAAAAATCCCTATGGGACTAGATTAAAAGTGAGTATTTAAAGATTAAATAGGCCTAACACTAATGTCTTATGAAAAGTAAAATTGTAAGCATTCTTCGCTGGTTTGTAGAAGGCGTAAACACCATAGAAGTTATTGTTTTATAAAAAAAAAAACAAAAAAAAAACTTTTTTTTACATTCGGAATTTATAAAGTTTATTATGAAATCATTTTCTCTCAGAAAACACTTCTTCTAAAAATACTTTATTGTTAGATCTTATCTCATGCTGTTGTAATCGAATTATTAATTTCTCAGAGGAAAGTTTTTCTGTTTAGTTTTCTTGGTAAGCGATTATGAATTCAATTAAAAGTTCTTTGTTCAGCTACTACATTGCCCAGCCTTATCATACTAACTAGAACGATTTAAAAATAATAATAATTTAACAGTATTTCAGTTGTGCTTGATGTAAGTGACGTCAGTTGAAATAATAAAACTTTGTGGTTTAGGCCTGTTGTTTACTGACCAGTCGGGCTGTAATCTCCACATTCCACCTCTTGATGCTGGTATACCCAATCAGAATGTCCTATCTCACCCGAACGGACAGCTACGGTCTAAGCGTATCCGTACATCATTCAAACACCATCAATTAAGAACAATGAAGTCTTACTTTGCAATCAATCAGAATCCAGATGCTAAAGACCTGAAACAACTGGCTCAAAAGACAGATCTTTCAAAACGAGTACTTCAGGTAGAGGTCATTTATTTTTATTTCAAAGTATCTATTTGTATAATAAAAATCATTACTTATCGTGAAGTGTATTATAATTTCAGAATAATGTTTTAATCTTTCAGTAATTGTTTTCATTATTGCTTATGTCACTGCTACTTATTCAACGTTGGAGGCGAATCTTTAATGTATACAGAGTTGTGTTGAAAATTGTTTTTTCTTTCTTTTTTTTTAATAGCCCTAAATACAATCAAGGTTTTCAACTGCAACGTAACACACAGTAATACTTTGTTTTCTTCGGGGTTTAGGTGTGGTTTCAGAATGCCAGAGCAAAATGGCGCAGAAATAATATAAAACAACAGGATCAGCAATCCCAACACCACTCACCACAACAACAGCACAATATGAATGTTTGTAGTCCAGGAGCTGTCAGTTCCTTCTCAGAACCTAGCCCCCCAGCCTCATGTTCGATGAGAACAGAGTCCACACTAGGGGGAGTTCCTCCCCAGATTCCTTTATCCTGTGTTGAATACTCGCCCAACCCTTCTCTTACGCCAACAGTTTCTCACCATTCTGCACCCTCTGGAACTTCAGGAGATTCATTTCCTTTAAACTCATTTCAGGAACTGTTCTAACTCAGTCATTGTTAATAAACTTACAAGTGAAAACTGGTAAAATAAACATGTTTTATCGTTTTTATCAGTGTATCTTCAGATCAATGATAAGTTTATGTGTCCTCCGGAAAACCTGGTTATCTTTTTCTTAGTATTCCAGCTGAAATAAATTATTTTAAGGGGGAAAAAATGTTTGACTAATCTGACATAGTAATCTTCGCTTGAATCAGACCGAGATTTCCACTTGGGACTCAATTCCTTGTTTTCAAATCCAAGAAACGACAAAAAGGATGTTCTAGATACTGTTCGTGTAAATATTCTTCTATATAAAGTATATATATATATATGTATATCTATATATATAATGTAAAATTAAGAATATGACGGAAACTATTTGATACGTATGACTTGTGGTTAATTGGTGAAGTTGTGCATACATACATATATATCTATGTTTAACTATTTATCAGTTGAGTATCACTTTGTAATTTCTGTAACGATTGCATCTTGAGGGTAAGTGAGATAATACCAACCACAATAATGCTTTAGTTTCAGAAGTGAAGAAGTTTGATACTTAATATATACAATTTGGGACAGCTGAAGCCTACGGACTTAGAACGCTAAAATCCGGGGCTCGATTCCCCGCATTCGACACAGTAGATAGCCTGATGTGGTTTTGCTCTAAAATAAATATATAATTTCGTTTCAGATTATCAGCTAAGAATATCTAATCACCACCTTACCGAAAATCATTTTTCTACTAATAAAGCGAAATTTAATTTCTTTTTACAAATATTTTTCACATGTTTTAGTGGC